ATAGAATAGCTTTCTGCATATTTGGCTCAGTTGGCTAATGGTTCTAATTGATTCTATTCATGCATTGTACAAATGCTAAGTAGCCCACTTAGGAAAGAACAATCAGATACACACATACAAAATGGGAAATGACTGCCTAGGAAAGAGTACTGCGAAAAGAGATCTGGGGAGGAGGGCGTCATCGTGGAGCACAAGCTAAATATGAGTCAACAGTGTAACAGTTGCAAAAAAACCAAACATAATTCTGGGATGTATTAGTAGGAGTGTTGTAAGCAAGACACAAAATAATTCTTCCGCTCTACTCTGCGCTGATTAGGCCTCATTTGGAGTATTGTGCCTAGTTCTGGGCACCACATTTCAGGAAAGAGGTGGACAACAGAGAAGAGCAACAAAAATGATTAAAGGTCTAGAAAACAAGACCTATGAGGGATGATTGAAAAAAATTGCATTTGTTTAGTCTGGAAAAGAGAAGACAGAGGGGACATGATAACAGTTTTCAAGTACATAAAAGGAGGAGGGAGAAAAATTATTCTCTTTAACCTGTGAGGATAGGACAAGAAGCAATGGGCTTAAATTGCAGCAAGGGAGGTTTAGGTTGGACATTAGGAAAAACTACAAGTCAGGGTGGTTAAGCACTGGAATAAATTGCCTAGGGAGGTTGTGGAATCTCCATCATTGAAGATTTTTAGGAGCAGGTTAGACAAACACCTGTCAGGGATGATCTAGATAATACTCAGTCCTGCCTTGAGTGCAGGGGACTGGCTTAAAGACATCTCAAGGTCGCTTGCCATCAGAGGCGATGCATAGGAGGGGCATGCGGGGTCACATCCTTGCCACCCCCCCAATTTGCTGTTGGCTTGTAATGAGCATGCTCACACGGACTCAGCATATTCAATGACATTGCTAAAGCCAGCTGCCCTCACTCTGCCCCACCCCCATTATCAGTAAGCACAGGTCATCTCTGCTTCCAGAATCCTATGATTCTGATTGTACTGCAGGAATTGAGCAGGTTGCGTTTTCTCTCTGCAACTTTACCTACTGGCTACACCCATCAGGAGTTGAATATACAAGACTGTTAGCTAAGTGCTTTGAAGATAGAAATGATTATTTATCAAGGACATGCCAGGTGATTTCACTAGCACTTACATGATAATCCTATACAGAAGTATAGTTCACCTGCTTTAGGTTCCAAGGATGTTCCTGTCCACAAGTTACATTGCTTCACAATTGGCTATTAAACTCATGGAAAAAGCATACTGTCTTGCTCCCTTAGTCTAAAAGGTTGATAGGTACTTGGGAATTGTAAGTAATACTTGGGAAAAAAATCAGGAAATACTTTGCTGTATTTTAATTTGCAACTGCACATTATAATACAGTATCTGTTTGTTATACTGATTTTGTATTAATTATGGGGAAGATCTTATATTACATTAGCTTTCTTTAACTTAATGTAGGCAAGATGACATAGCTCTAGGTTTATTCCCAGCTTTGCCAACTCACTGACGTCTCAGAAAAGTCTCTTATGTGCTTTGGTTTTTCCATCTGCAAAATGCGAATGATACATTTGTGAAACAACTTCCAGAAAAAAAGTGTTGCATTTTAAAGATTATACTTATTATAGCACCTTCCCCAGAAAGTTTGCTTCTCTCTTCAGTAGTTTATTGTGGCACACAAGTTCCTTTTTCTTTGCACAATATTTTCACCCTAAATATTTTTTGTATTAAAAACACAACTCAGGGAACAGACAGTTAAGGCGTATTTGTCAAGGATAAAGATTATGAAGTCTTATTCCACTGGTTTAAGTTATGAGCCTCTTCTGTAGCTGTGATAATTTTGTCAGGTTTATATACACATCTGCCAGAACTATCTGGGGTACATACATTATTAGAGAGAGTAACTTAATACAGACTTTCAAGACTGTCGGGAACACTCACCAGGCCACCCTTAACACCAAACACCTGTAACCCTGCACACACGCCCCATACACTCCCCACCCCCCAATACAGGAGATTTATTCACATCCCTCTGCATATTCTTAGTCCACTCCTTTGACCCATATGCACAGATGTCATAGCAGCATACCTCATAGCAAGCTCTCAACTCTCCATGCCTACGCCACTCTGCTCAGCTCCTCCACTTGACTTGTCCTATTACCCCCTCCACTCAGTCACCCTGCAGCCCCCCCAACTCACTAACATTCTCCCACCACTACTGAATTCACTGACATCTCTTTCCTTCCTATTCATCACCAAATCTGACAAACTGATGCTGAGAACAAAACAATTGCAGGGATCGCCTTAGCACCTTTGCATCCCTTTGGGCCCCAATCTTCTCATCAGCTGACTTAGCTCTGTGCTGCATGCAGCCCACTTTTCCAGCCCCACAGAGGGACCAGGGATTCTGCTCTACCTAAAGCCCCATCTAAGGAATGGCCATAGAGCAGCTGGGGTTTTTGCCCCCTACTGTGTAGGTGATAAAGAAGGCAGGTTTCTTTCCCTAGGGAGGCAGAGGGGTGGGAACAGTCTAGGACCAGCTGTTGGAGAACAGGGCAGGACGGCAGAGGAGGGTGCTCCGGGACAGGTCTCTACAGTAGAACAGGTTGGGAAAGGTTTTCCCTCCCCACGCCCCCAAACTTCAATGAAAACGAATAAAATCTATGTCTAATTTTTTGATGCAACATTGATTTGGAAATCATAGGGCTTCGTGCTCCCATTCTCCTCTTTAGGCTGGGCCGCCTGGTCAGTCTACATCTCCCACTTGCAGCACAGAGGACAAGCATGGACCTGGGGAAGACTGGAAGTGAAAGGCTTCATGGAAGATGTAGTCTGGATGGGGAGCCCAGCTCAGAAGACAATGGGGACATGAAATAACTTAGCGACAGTACCCATCAAGCAGTGTGGCAGCGTTTCCAAAATGAAAAATTTGGTTTGACCAAAATGTTTTACGATAAAAAAAGAAAGAACATTTCTGCAGAACAGACTCTTGATGCAGAAATTTTGTCAAAAAACCCTGTTTTCAAAATTTCCAGTTTTAGGCCAAAGGTAAGTGATGGGAGAGAAGCTGGCCTGACCCAGAAAAAGTGCAGCCCAGGGCAACTGCTAGTCTTCAGTGCCCCTGTAAACAGGCCCAGAATAGGGAAGAGTCCAGAAGTGCCAGAAGGGGACCATTGCAGCTGCTTCTCCATTTGCTCAGTTGCACGGCAGAGGCCCACATGGTTCCAAAGTGTCACAGTTTTACTACAGGTCTTGCAATATTTAGTGTTTTCCTTAATGCCCCAACTCTTGGAGACTGATCATTACATGGGACTCTGCTTTCAAAAACCCATCAAGGAAAGGTTCTAGTGGAAAACATGAACCCTAAAGGCTAAAGGCAAACGTAAGAAACCCAATTTTTAAAAAAGAAATGATTTTAAAGACAGTCTCATGATTTTTAATGCTTGAGGTTGGCAACATAGAGGGAGGAGCGCTCCCCCTTCAACCTGACAGTGCAACAGCTACAGTTGCTCTCAATGGCTTGGCTGCAGCAGCATTGGTTACACTATCATATTTGAGATTCTTTTGTAATCATAGACCTCAAGTGCTTGTATTCTGCAGAAGCTGGATGCATTGGTCATACACATACGGGAAAGCTTCCTATGCATATTTGGTGAACAAGATTTTGCAAGGCTGTTCTATCTAATGAGCCCCCTGGCTCTGGGGTGTTAGCTATAGTATTGGAGCACTATTTTCACAGGTGTCCTTACTTAATCAGCACATAACCAATTCTGGGGCATCACAAATACCATGGATTGCAATGATACTTTTGCAATCTGAAATGTTATGTTCTGGATTATCTGTTAACCCGGAACTCCTAAAACCATATCACAAAAGGAAATAATTTTTGGAAGTTTAATTTACTGATCAGATGGGTCCCATTGTTGGAACTTTCACTAGACAATTAAGTCAGCATTTGAAACAATTACTTATTGGCTGCAACCAGATGGGTCTGGTGTAAGTTGAGACGAAAGATCCTGCAACATCAATTTGGTTTTAAAAAAATGAAGTGAGAAATATAGAGATGGAGTCTCACCAGAATCCTGGTGAAGTATTTTGAAATTTAGTTTGGTTTTATTGAATTGACCATAAAACTCCCAAATACCTGCCTAGGATCAAAGCTAGAAACCTAGTACAAGATTGATTAGCAAGTTTAATTTTTTGGATTTCCCTTTGCTATTTTTATCAATATTCAATATTTTTTGGTTGAACAGATTGTCAAGTACACAGTCTGGTTAGGAGGGGCGTTCAACATAAATTCGTGTTTAACTCAGTTTGTATCTGCTGTACAGAGCAGGAAACATCTGGATCTTGCACTACTTCAATTGCTGTCTAACACCAGATTGAGAAGACTTTTGTAGGGCTAGTTTCTCGTTAGTATTCATGAATTGACTTCCAAGTTTTGCGTTGCAGACCTGAATTCCCAAGTACTATACTTGTAAGGTATCACAGAGAGCTTTGTTCAGCGGCTCCTTACAAAAATAAGATGTGATTGGACATTAAAGATTAGCTGCGGAAATGCACTGCAGCAGGTTGAATTTAAAGGCCTGTAGCCAACACATTTTTTTCAACCATGAATCAATTGCAAGGAGTCCATTCATGTTTTCAATGTACGGAGCACTACATATTCAACATCAATTGTAATTTTTGTCAATGCAAGTATTTTTCTAGTATTGAAGCATTGTGTTAAGTCTTCAAAATGATCTGTTTCCAGTTATTGGAAAATGATTTAAAATATCTGATAATTCTAAGCTGCCTGAATTACTTTAAATAAATGAAGGAGAAAGAGGCCAGGTCACCATCAGTAATTTGCTCCCAAATTCATTGAGCATAACCACCAATGCATCAGCAAGCAGACCTAAAATTTCAACTTCTCCTTTGTTCCTTTTTCCTCTTATTATTAGGATAAGCAATATATTTAATTTAGTGAAGACCATTAAAGCATGCTTAGAACAGAGAAGCAAAAAGTTTAAGTTGTTAAATGTTTTATTATGCATATTTACAAAAAACTGAAGCAGTAATTTGCTCCAATACAAAGCCCACCAAAATTACATCTTTAGAAAAATCTTTATACACAGCAACACAGTACAGTACTACAAGAATCTTCCATGCTACACTCAAGTATTTATCTGCAGCAAGGAGGAGTTTGTTATCCCTCAATTTGTGTCTTAGTCATATCCTTAAAATAATACCTCCCCCCCCCGAGACCAGAACTACTGGTCTGCAAGAGGGCCATCCAACTGAAGTATACAAGTTTACTCTGCAGGTTGCATTTTGCTACTGCTTTCCAAAAATATTTAAGAGTTGCTTGTAATGAGTTTAGAACCAATTTCTACACTAGTGATTTGCAGGCCTCCAAATTTGTCCTCTTTTTATCCTGCCTGAACCTACACTGGATATGCCTCAGTAGTTCACCCAAAAGCCACAGATTCACATTTTAGGGTAGCAATAACTTTTCATCTAGGTCTTTTCTTTTTTAATTCATCCACCTCCATGTACAGAAATCACTGCTTCATCTCAGACTCTACAGACAAAAGGGCTAATATTCTCTTAACACAGCATTGTATCTTTCCATTGGCCATGGAATGTAATAAAAATCACAGTGCACATGCACCCCATGCCAGATACCAAGTCACCTCTGGACACACCCAGGCAAGCAGCAGGTAGACACGGAGCTGGCTTCAGTTCATGACTGTACAATCTTAGCCTTAGAAGTTAAGGAGGCTGCTCTGAAGGCTATCATTTTCCTTTCCATCCTGACCCAAGTTATGACGGTATTTGAAGCAAATTTGCTGTGCCTGCTTCTAGGCAGTATTGCTTACCAAACAAAAACAAACAAAAACAGTTCTTAAAAGTTAATTCCCCCCCATATCATCAGTGTACATTCAGGAATATTGTATTTATATTGAATGGTTTTAGTGTCTCTTCAGTCTGAAGATTACTCCAATGAGTTAAAGGTAAAGTAAAGGCATTGTTCTAACTCCAGTGGGTTAAAGGGTAAGAAAAGACATTATTCTAACTAGAATTAAGCAATTATATTTCAGTTCTTTCATTACCAAACATGAAAGATGACTTTTCTACTTCTACTTTACTCATTTTAAAAACAAAACAAAGTTCAAAGGAGCTTGGCTGACTTATGAGACATTTACAAAAATAAGGTTGCCACGTGCTTACAGTTTCAGCAATATAACATATGCTATACCATGAAAAAAGTTAGCTGTGTATCATCCATGTACACAAAAGCCTTCTCTCAACCTTTAATGCTAGCTTTGCTTCACATTTTGTAACCTCCATTAAATCCTCACTGGAACAGAATCTTTGGGGAGGAAAATACAGCATCAAATAATTTAGTATAAGGAGAGTTTATGGAAATAATAATAAAAAAGGCAGAGTTTCGTGCAGAAATTAGACAGCATTGTTTTCTATTAACAATGGCAATATTCAGTCACTCACATTACACAAACAAAATAGAAGTGAGTTGGTCTTCTGGTATATGCCTCCCAAAGTCTGGTTCTCTTATACTTTTACTAATACATACCTCTGCATTTGGGTGAGGAACAAGCTGGTGTGAATTGGGCATTCAATGCAACCTTCTAGTGTTCATTCCTCATCTTTAGGAACTGCAGATGTGACTTCTGCAGCTCCCATTGAAAGGCCATTTCCACATATACCCTGCCCATATTCACAGATCAGCGTGTTGAATAAATCTTTGTCAAATCTGAGCAGAGAAAATAGCTCAGTTGTACTGATAAAAAAGCAAACTAAAACCCTAGACAGCACTGCGAGAACATAGCAGGTACAATAACCTGCCACACTAAGAATCCTAATGGCTATTCACATACTACAAAGCATCAGATTTCTCAGATGTACACTGTATAACTTTTAACTTCATCTAGATCTTGTACTACAACCTCACATACAGTGCATGTGTCTTGTACATCCCTCCCTCATGTTCAGCTGCCCCCATTTTCCCAAGTTTAGATAGTGTAAACCCAGCGAACAGTTATTCAGTATAGATTTATTTTCCTGACTAGTCAGTGTTGCTACCAGGATTTTGCTTACAGGAAGTGTTCATGTCTACAGACCAACAGACCATGGATAATCACCTGCTCTTTGGAGGAAAAAAACCCTGATAAAAGTAGTACCTTCTACTATCCCGCACTACAATCAACATCTACTGACAAACTATCATGTGCTACTTGAATTTTCTTTAGCCTTGTCATGAGAACACCTGAAACAATGTTACATCTCTTGTCAAGCTCAGTAATGCAGTGATAAACCATAAGGGAAAGATAGACTGCAGAGATGATTTTCAGGCAAAAAGGCAGTATATTTCTGCCACTATTTAATAATGTCTTACTTCAGCATTTTGCCAATCTCAATTAGTAGGTTCAGCACAAATGACACTGTCTCCTTGAGCAAAAAGCTCTTTTCTTGTAGACAAATTGCTTACACTGCTTTTTCATGTTGCATGGACCAATACATCTTGTAAAACCTAATAGCAATTATATTTCTTTTGTAAAGAAATTATTAGATTGAAAGCTTGCCTTCCTCTGGTATCCTAATGCTTTAGCATATAATTCTTAGCTGTAACCGCCTTATATGCACCTTTTGTAGTCATTTAACCAGTTCTACTAGTGATCCTCTAGTGACAGCAGTCCAAAAATGTCCACTTCTAAAGGCACCAATGTCATTGCACCTGTGCTTTGTATTCGAAACACCTCAACTCTCAACACCAAGATGTTGAGTGTATCTGTCAGAAAATGGATGTTTTTATTTGTGATGACATAGGAAAAAGAAAGTCAATTCCTGTTACACCGCAACCACCACGCTTTGGGAGTATTTATTTTAAGTAATGTAACAATTCCTCCAGTTGTCTTCCAGCCAGTGTGTTGCATCTTTTAATATCTGTAGCATGGAAAATTCTTGCACATTAGCAACTAAGCATAGTCAACGGACATTCATTTTAAACCAATTTCTACTTCTCTGTATAGACCAGTATTCTCCTTTAAAAGTCTGTAGCAGCAACTAGTGAGCAACTGCCCAACTTCTTTGACAATATTTAATTTACCAAGTCACAGCTCAAACTTATTTTGAGATGAGTGTAGTAAAAACACTTTAGTTTAAGCTTTATACCATGTTCTTGCAAACTGGTGTTGCGTAGCTCCTATTTGATAAGTGGAATATGAAATTCGTTATCAAAAATAAGGGGCCTCCTAGGAGGGGTTGACTCCTTGTCTGCTTTGTGCAGCAGTTTGAAGAGTCCTGTTCCAATGTTCATTGGAATTCCCATGATGATACACTCAGAAACACCTAGGAGAGAAAAAACCCACAGAGTTAAGTGACTAAAAGTTTCTAAAATTACTTGCACAGCAAAACCTTGTTAGAACTTTACATATAAAGCCAAACATGTCAAAAGCTCTCTCCACCAGACACAGTTAAGCAAGATGGTCATCACAACCAATAAATGTTTTTTCTTGTTTGCCAACCAACAGCAGTGAAGGAGCTTCAGTTATAAAAATGGATTTATAGCTTTGTTTGACACTGGAATTTACTGTGAACAAGGCACTGCCTATTGTTAAGTATGAACCCAACTGCTTGGAATTTATCCTGCATGTTGACCTGTCTACTGTTTGTCACAGCAGCAAGGCTTTTGTGCAGTCTGGTAAAGTTCTCTTAGGCTGACAGATTTTCAAGTGAAATGAAGTCTGGAGTTTCTCACCACTTCAGCTGTTCTGATTAATTTTTTTTTGCATTTTGATGACTCAGAAGTGCATGTGTTGAAAGTTATCAATGTTGCCATGGATTTAGCCTTCAAGTGAGCCCTAGTGCTTTTGATGTGTCAGTTAATATATGGTTTGGAAGTGAAGTCATAAATGCATGCAATACATGTGTACATGCACAAGGTTATTTCCTAACTTTTCAGCAATGTGCTGTATTACTGTGTTTTAGATATGTACTCCTAGAACACTAATCTTCAATTACTATATATTCAAAGATTTCAACTACTACACATGAAAATAAAAAGCAGTGTTTTGTCTCTAATTGGATTGTTGGCTCTTTGGAGCAGGGACTGTATTTTTGTTCTGCGTTTCTACAGCCTAGCACTACGGGATCCTGGCTTATGACTGGGGACCCAACACACTACAATAATTCAAGTAATAATGAACAGCAATAACGTGTGCCCTTCAAACCAAAATGACGATGTACCTATATTTCCTACTCGTATGAACATGTGATTGTACACGGCTTGCCTGTAAAAAAAACTGCCAATACTACCTCTTTACATTTGGAAATAAGAAAATTTTTTCCATCCCATTTCCTTATTTGAACTAAACTGTTACAGGAAGAGGGCAGCATGAAAAGGTACTTAGTAAAATCTTGATTGAGGAAAAGGGAAACTCAGTCAGAGGGGACTTTGAGCAAACATTTTCTTTTCCATACCGTTCAGGATGGAGCAAGTTCACCATAGGACCCTCACTTTAACCACAATCACAGCAAAGAAAACAAACATTAATAAAAGTCAATCACACGGTAGGCACAGATGGCTAGAAAAAGAGACAGCTCTTAAAATATGGACTAGCCATGCCAAGCTTTCAAAACTATCTCCATCTATTCACAAGCGTTTCTATCCACAAAGAAGTCAGTGGATTCAGCTCTATATTTTCAACACATCCCAAACGAAGCCTCTGTTATATTAGTATTTTTATATTTCAGTAGCACCCAGAAGCCCTAATGAGGGATAACGGCTCCACTATGCTAGGCTCTGAACGAACATGTAGTCAAGGTAACTAGAGTTGTAATGAAATCTGCCTGCCTCCCCAACTCCTTAGCTTAATTGAGTAGATAACTGTCTAAACTGAACTAAAATTGGATGGGGAAAGAGAATGGGGGAAAAAAAACAGATTTCTAATCAGGTACAGAGTATGCATGAGAATTTAAAATTAAGGGATTTACAATCAAATGACAAAACTCAAATATTTAACTATCATGGTACTAGAAAACTGCATCAGCTCTTTTACATTTTAGTTTTAGTTATTTGTGCCTTTCATCCATTCAGTGGAATAAGAGAAAGCTGCAACTGATATTAGTTCAGTAACTTATAAGCCTAGAAATATGCATGTACATTTTGAAGGTGAACTAAAAAGCTTTTATCTGTTTGAACAAGAGATCTCACTAAGATTTTATACCTTGTTTATCCCCATGGCCTTTGAGTGCCTAAGAGTTCAAGCCCCTTGGCCATCTGGGTTTTCTTGTTGCAATTGATGAAACCCATCATAATAATTCATTATTCAAAGTACCACAGATATGTACAGCACTTTAAAGTACAAACAAAAAGGGAGCCTAAAAAACAAAACAGGGAACTATTTTCCTTAATCCGCTTTAGGTCTTAGTAATGGTCAACAAAACTTGTAGAGTGAACACAAGAACACTGATCTTGCTAGGTAATTAAGGAGAGAAACTAATTTCCTGCTATTTCATTTAGGTAAGGGGGAAAAAAATCCCAAGGGACAAATTTAATCCCCAGCAGCACAGGCAGGGCTCTAACTCACTAACATCTTTGGATGGGAACAGGAGGTGGCCCTAGGGTAGTGTCTGTCAGACTTCTGGAGTCAAGATGTTTTATCCAGCCCCACTGCTAAAGCTTTTAGCATATGACCTAAATTCATTTGAGTGTTTTGGGAGGCACACAGAAAGCTTTGGCAGGTGGGGAACATACACAAACACACAAACGTGCACGCTTTAAGAGTATTTTGCAGATGAGTGAATACTGCATGCTACAGTCTAACCTACAATACCTACCACACACAGAATCCTTCTGCCCAAAGTAGGCAGCATCAAACAGATGGTCTGCAGTCTTTTCAAAAGAAGCCAGCATTAACACACTTTCCTTCATTTTTGCCAGCCCAAACCTAGTAATGCCCAGGACTTCACCCTAGATCAATGCAGAAACAAAAAGACAGTCATAATTCCAAGGGTTTGGTTAAATTTATTGATCAAAATAAGTGGATATGACAAAATATATAGTTTATTTTAACAATACTGAACAAAAGTCTACAGTCTGAAGTGTAGCCTCTGTTCTGCCGCTTCATGCTTAAGTCTTTTGAAGGTTAAGGCTTTGGTAGTAATGAAAGTTTAAATAAAACCAAAAAAACTTTTATTCATAGGCTGTAGGATCAGCTATAAAATTGCTTGAAACTTTATGATGCCAAGGAAATTGGAAAAGGTGCGAATCAAAAAAGGCATATAGATGACAGAAAAATGTTCAACTACTAATCAACCACTTCAAAACAAAACAAACCCCATCTTTGTGGAGGCTGCTATAAAGAACTTAGTGGAGACTGTCAGTTATTGTTGGCCAATAAATCTGACTCCAAGTGTAAAATGACTGGATAATGCAAATCCTCCATTTTAGTCACCTTAGAAAATCCACTTGAATTTAAACATATTAGATCTAATCCTGTTTCTAACTCACGTTGCTACAGAGCACCTTGCTCATAATGGAGCTAGTACAGTTCTGATACATGGGACAGAAGGGTAAGGGAAAGAAGTGGATTCTGGAAACCTGACAAGCTTACTATAACTGTACTCTGTGCCCCTTCTCCAATGAAATGGAAAGTGGGGCTGTGGACTTGCTGCAGACAAAATTTTGGAAAGGTGCCACAACCAGTACAGAAGCTGTTGCAGTCCCAAAGGTGCAACAGTAACTGCCCTGCAGCTTCGGGAAACAAGGAAAAGCTACAATTCCTTAGCCGTTTTCCCAGAGGGCAAAGTTCCCCTGCGTTAAACTCCTGTACTCTAGCTTGACACATAAGAAAGGATTTGCTCCATTATGTACATTAACACAAATACAGCTAGGTTATAGTCAACATACATTATCATGGATGTGGATAGCTATTTTCCTTCCCTGAGGAGTACTGACATTGCATCAAAATGGCCAGTGCTGTAACCCTAGTCCATACTCCATTATGTAATCTGCTTCCATTTGCAAGGACTCTGCCCTGCCTTCTGCTATGAAGAGCAGCTGTTGTGCTTTCAAATATTTGAACAGATATGCACAGCGGTGTACATGCTTGGGTGCCCACACCAACCCTATGCTCTTTATTGTAACATGCCAATGAGTTGACCTCCAAGGTGAAATAAAGACACCCATAACCTCTAAATGAAGCTCTTCAAACAGACTGCTGTTCTCAAATTATGGATTAAGTCACCATTCAAGTTTGACATATCAACTCAGTCACAGGGATTAATTAGTATGATTAGCAGTTACTTCAGTATATAACCTATTAATACTCCTCAGCTGAAAGCTCTTCTATTGCCTCTATAAAGATAGTTTGGATAAAGAGACCAAAAAGAACGCAGCACAAACCTTGTATGTCATCAGATCTGATAACAGCATAACATGCCTCCTGTCAATGCTCATACCATGGTTTACCATAGTGTACTGAATCTCATTGATAATGGTTGTTCGAGCAGCTTCAATCCCTAGTGTTTTCTCTACCTAGGAGAGAGATCATGTTGAATAAATGAAGAAGTGAAGTGCTTGGAGTGCTGAAACATTTCTTTGCTTGCACATGGGACTGAAGATTTTCTTAGTGATCTAACTAGAAAAATCTGAAGTGATTTTCCTGGGATGCACATTCTACCAACCCCACCACCCTTTTTTTAAAAAACACAACCTGAATTAATAAAAACATTTGCTCATTAAAAGTAATTGAAGTTGGCAGCTGAATTAGCCTTTTATGATAATACACACACTGACAGGTTACTTGTGAAAGTAGAAGTGATCAGTGGTAAATTGCATTAACTATCTGTAAATGAGCATAAGTAGGAATCAAGATGCAGCCAGAAGTAGTGCTAAGACACACTTGAGCATTACCTCATAAGTGTTGTTAGAAGTGGTCTTAGTTCCTTTGACTCCATGGGTGGCCATGACAGCTCGTAGGTTATCACCTTCCACCAGAAGTTTGTATTTCTCCTTGCCACTCTGCTCATCAATGTGAATGACCGCTCGAGACACCTCTGGGATACCTTGCACTACAATCTTTTCAAAATAAGAAGTTGTATAAACTCAACTTGTCCTATCCATGCAGCTTTAAATAGACAACGTGAGAACACTTACATTTAAGGCTTTAAATCAGTCCTCAAAGCTATCTTAAAAACTCCACTTTTATACAGTGGCCTGAACATTAAAATAAGTATTAGTGTCTGATTTCTATTATGTGTTGAATGCTCCAGAGAGACATGTAAGAGGGGCATTCAGCACATTACTGTTGTATAACTAGTCTTCTCTGTCCCCACATCTAGGGGGTCCAGAAAATCAGATGTACTACAGACCTCTGCCTCTTTCTCTGTATGACACTCAGCATGCACCCTGTCAGTTACAGGTTTTTGTTTGCAACTATGTTTAAATCTAAACTAGACATGATCCTCACACAAGCTTAGCAATGCACTTGACAGATTTTATTATGGGCTCCTTTCAAAACCTGCCGTATTTTTAAGTGGTAGAAAATTTGGTACTCAAATAGCACTTTCCATCTTCAAAATGTCTTATGAAGAAACATACTTCGTAAGAATGTTGTAAGAAAAATATTACAATCTCCATTTTACGTAGGGGGAGAGACACAGGAAATGTTAAGGCTGAAACAAGAGCCAGCAGCATTGCTGGCATTAGAACCGAGGAGTTCTGGACTCAGACAACTAGACCATATTGACACTCAATACAATCTAGAAACAAGTATTTCCCACATACAAATTGAAGCAGTTACCAATTGCAAAAGGAAGAGATTCTACTTACCTTTGGTAGCTCTTCTTTCAGGGATTGCAAGACATAATACATTGAACTCTTACTATTCTCACGAGGGGTCACACAGACAACTGCCTCTCCATGAACGGCAACATCCCCAGGCTTCACTCTTAGCTTAGATGTGCAGATAGAATATCGCACAGTCTCTGCATTCACCTGTGACGAAATGATTCCTTGAATATTAAAATATGTCCTTTAACCATTTTAAATCTTTCAGCCATGCAGAAATCAGATTTCTGCTCCACTAATTAACCAGGATACTATCACAGCTGGATGGGGCTAACAAATGGAATGCTTGCAGATTATCACAAAATAGCTCTCGGAGTGAAATGTGCCCCTCTGCAGATGGTCCACACAGGCCCAGATGCCACTTCAGTCTCACTGGAGTGTTCTATAAGGGTGAACTTTTATTGAATATGACACAGAACTAAACTATTTGCCGTGTTATTGCAGTTGTGTCAGTCCCAGGATATTAGACACACAAGGTGGGTGAATAATAAAGAGATATTACTGTAATGCCAGTAAACCAAGTGCCAGAGCTGGCATTAGCTAAGAACTGACAAACTCATAGTTGGAAACCAAACCAGCTCACCTATATGTTAGTTTTGTTCAAAATAGGTATTAGTCTTACCAGAATATATTTAGTGTTTAGATTAGATGAAATGCTTGCAAGTTGCTGCATACATTAATCTCACTTGCAATGCCTGTACCACATGCTATAAGGAAATATGTAAGCATTGCTTTATAACTTTGAAAATGTTTGCTCTGAACTTGTGAACCCAGGCACGGAAATCATCTCCCACACCCAGTAAGGAGGCCTATCAAGATTAAACGGGCCATTAAGAATCATCATAGTACAAAGGATTCGTGAATGGCCCTATCAAGACCTTGGAAATGCTAGGTACAAGGGGGTTTGTCTCATGAACTGGAAGGCCAAATGTAAGAGATAAAACAGGGTCACATGAAAATTTGTCATCTCTTTGCTGTTTTAACTCACAGGGGCAGAGACATTAAACAGAGGCAGAGATCCCCAGGGGTAACCCCTGGGTCCAGCCTGAAAGACATTTTGAATTGACAGATTACCACATCTCTGTCATCTTTACGAATCACGTTTAGGAACTCATTTGTGTAGGTTTGCTTGCTTTAACTTGTAAACAACTTTTATTTATTTTTCCTAGTTAACAAACCTTTAGATAGTGATAAATGGTCATGTACACCAAAAATCTCACACTGTTCAGGTTGCTTCCAATCGCAAGAGAGCACAGATCTTACACAAAAGACAGCACCTGTAGCCCGTCATGTAACAAACTAAGTCCAGCTTGTAAAATCTAATTATAGAGCACACCGCCAGACCGTGTTGTCTGCCCTGTTTTGGACGCTCACAAACGTGAGCTACTCCAGACAGCATGACAACTACCTCACCCACCTTGTCTCACAGAACTCAATTTGCCACATAGCATAACAGCCATTCACCTCAGAAGATCTGTTCCTAGCGAAAGGCTCAAGAGAAAAATAAATTTTAGCAATGGTCTACTTACAAGATGACCATAATTCTGTGCAACTTAGTTGTTCTTTGAATAAATCCTGAAGTTAAATAGGTCAGGAAACCTGAACACTGCCTGCCTGTGCTATTCCCAGCTCTAGGCAATGCTCTGAAATGCCAACTTTGAATACTAAACAGAGTTGTAAACCTTATATGGACATCTTGTGGATGGCACTTTCCATTTGCTCTTTAACTAGCTTGTTTCATTGACATCTCTGAAAAGGGCATCAACTGGTGTGGAGGAAGGGACCACTGCTTGTTCTGGTTTTCCAAGTAGTACAGTGAACAAGATCTGGAAAACTCACCTCTAGTCTCAGCAGTCTAATCCGCTCCAGAGAGAGCTTGACCAGTATAAAGCAATCATCAGGAAGAAACACTTCTTCGATATACTCTGAAATCTGTAAGTTACAGATCCAGATGGAATAGTTAGAATCTCTCCAATAATGGTTACTGTCCACTACAAAAAGTCTGCAACAATACAGACTAGAGTTTTTAAATGTAATGTAGTACCAACAATGAAGATTTTCCTACCTCTCCTAATAGAGTTTTCTCAATTCTTCCCTTAACCAGACGGGCAAAATCAGAATCATCATCCTTGTCCAAGTGTGCTGTGATAATAGGTGTGCTACACAGAATAAGACACAGCAATAAAATTTACTAGCTAGATTATAGAACAGCAGCTTTCTGTTGTATCCTAGCTTCTGTGGTCTGTCTCGACTACCATCCACTATAGGGACAAATAGGACAGGCTGTAAAAGAGACTGCTGCTTGCTAGGAAATAATAGTACCCAAAATTGACACAATGTCTAAGAAAATTATTCTTTAAATATCTCAAGCTTGAAGGAATAAGACAGTTATTGGAATTCATACTCCAACGTATACATACTCTAAGAGGGTAGAGTATGTTTTTATGGCTTAGTCTACTGTAGCAGTGCTTAACTATGGCTCCAGGCGCACATCAGAAATATACAAGTGTTTTAACTACTGCTCGAGCTAGACCCATCTGATGTAGACTAATCTCTTGACAGTCTGTAGTCTGTAAGTGAATGTTTCAAAGGCAATGAACACCTAACTTTGTGTTTGGGCCACTAGAAAAGTCATTATTTGGATGGACTGAAATATGAGATTTTCTGCCAATTAAGATACAAATTTGATGAGTAACCTGGTTCATCTTGTTTAGATATTTGACAGGGTAAGTCTCGCATATTCCTGCAAGACAGATCCTACTTTGGGCTGCAGGTTAATCACTTTTCACTAAAGCAGAGGAATAAAAAAGGTTTCAGTACCTGATTGCTTTGGAGGCATTAATAATTTCTTTGATTCTAGGAACACCCAGAGTGATATTCATCGAGGCAACACCAGCAAAGTGGAAAGTTTTCAGAGTCATCTGTGTGCCAGGCTCACCAATACTCTGAGCACACAGAGCTCCTACTGCAGAGCCCGGCTCCATCTGTGCCCTGAGAAGAAAGTCAGGGGTTAAAAAAACCAAACAAACCTCAAATCAAAAACACAGGATAAAACAAATTGCTCATTAAGACACTAAATCTAGGCTGAGCAAAGATAAGCATTATTCCAGGAGTGCTAATAAGAGTTTTTAAACTGTATTTTCTTCGCCAGAGCTGGCAGGAAAAGAGACAAACACCAATTTCATGCAATGTGAACGACTGCCAGGGGCATAGAGAAATTCCGCTGCCCCAGTTATAAAAAACATTCCAAAACTAGTCAGGTCAACTAAAAGAAGTTCATCTTCTTCTGAAGTATTAGGTACTGGCCATTGCTAGATCCAGAATCATCATCAGATGGACCAACACACTGGCAATTCCCATATTCCAAATACAAATTCTCCATTATGGAATTGTTCTTGATGGGTTGACAAAGTTAGAAGATTAGACTTCTCTAAGGTGACCCATGATACAGAACTTTTTCCTCTTGAAAAGCCAAAACAAAAAAAAAAAAGAACCGCTATAATGTATTGAAATCCAATTTCTGAGAGGGAAAGCCTCTGAGAATAAAATCAGATCATGTTATTGCTTTATTATAGCATCAATGCATCAGCTATTCAAACAGATAACAGCAACAGCACAGGAAGTGAAGTATGCCACCATATGCAACATGAAGCTACAAAGGAGAAGAGAGGTTTTGATGAGAAGTTACATTTTAAACTGCAGTTTTGTCAGGACATTGGAATTAACACTTCTATTTTTGCAAAGAGTGAAATGGGATCAGCACTCCAGGAGCACATTTTCCCCCAACACCAAACTCAAGAGAGAATGCCACCTGCTAAATCAGCAGTGCAACCTTCAGCGTCGCCCTGGGTCTTCCTTGGAGAATACCCTTCCCAATACAAACCAGGGCTTACAGTGGTTAGCCTGTGAGATTTGATGCAATCAACAACGAGGCTGTATGGCGGCAAACAATAGTTATTTAAATTAGGGCTTGTCTACACTCAAAACTTACATCGGTATAGCTACGTCTCTCTCTGACGGAGAGAGTACCCTCGGTCCTGGTAGGAGTTCTCTCCTGCTTAAACTACAATGTAACTAAGCAAAGAAATGTGTCATAGCAACTAAGTCCCTTCCAAAATTATACCATTGTGATAAATCACAAAAAGATTACACTACATCAAAACCTTAATTAAAACCAGAATTTACTAGTATAAGTTGACCACCATCCAAGGCTATACAAACAGGTTAACACCAAAAAGAGAGCCGTGGAACACGTAACATATGCTTTGCACCGAAGAACATTACCCACGTGAGCATAAGCTAAGTAATCACAGCAAAGAAAACCAACATGCCAGTTAATTAACAAGTCTGCTGTAAATGATCTTCTACATAAACCTAGTGCTTCTAGAACAGTGGTTTTCAACCTGGGGGTCTGCAGACTATATCTAAGATTTCCAAAGAGGTCTGCACCTCCATTTGAAATTTTTTAGGGGTTAGGAAATGAAAAAAGGTTGAAAACCACTGTTCTAGACGCATTAAGCCACAGCAGAAATAGGTTTAGCAAATAACCAATGCATTGAGTGCATGTAGGAGACCAGAGGATAGCTGTCACCCTCATTTATATCCCAATGAACGAATCCCAAGTCATTATGAACCTTCTCTGTACATACGAATTAACTCACGATGAACAGAGAGAAGAGCCTCCAGACTATCAGTGTTTTCTTATAGTACAGAAGCTGTCTCCCAGAAATGAGTGTCAGATTCAGGACCAATGTTGTGCAAAACTAAAGATAATGATTGTCTACAGTCTGTTTATAGACCAAGATTAACAGTCAAGGTTGTAATGGCCTTCAAATTGACATAACTTTAACACTATCCTAACACTAAGGCCATGTCTATACTACCTCTTGTCAGTATAACTTATGTTGCTCAGGGGTCTGGAAAAAACCCACACCTCTGAGCGACATAAATTACACCAACAGAAGAGACAGAAGGCACTATTGTAGCAACAATTACATTCTCAGATTTAAGTCAATCAGTTACAAGCCCTACCCCTAACTTGTATAAGTAGTGGTGAACATTGAATTGATATAAGCCAATTAGAAGAAAACAAGTACTGAAACTTGTACCTCATGTATTTGTCCCTACAGGTCTCTAGAAACTTCTCTAGCTGCGTTGGGGTAATTCGATCCAATTGGTACAAGACACGTGGCTGAAGAGACAAAGAGACAGAAATGTTAGAAATCCAGTGGGTTATGGAGCTTTACTGTACGTACATGTGTTGTTACCCCTCTGAAGGCAGTTACCTCTGTTGTGCCATTGTCATTAATACCATACTTGTCCCTGGTTTTCTTGATCTTTTCAGAAACGCTTTTGATGAATTTTTTAATCTCCTGAAATTAAAAAAAAAAAAGTAAGAATTATGAAATAGATGAGTCTCGTACTCCAGCCCTACTATGGTAAATGCTATTGGTTACATATCTGAAAGAACCTTTTTACAATACTAAATCAGAAATGCACACTACGAGAAGGAAGACAGCAAAACCAAGGCACACAGTATGTGGGTACCACAAACCAAATTCACCCTTGACGTAACGAAAAAAATCAACAGCGGTACCTCAGGAATTTATACCAATACATATAAAGTATCCCTCCTCAGCATTCTCCTAGAAACTGACAAAGATTTTCCACTTTGGAGGATCTCTGTGCTTCCCACTTACCCCTTTTTCTCCTGCTCCCCAACTGTTGTGTTTTAGTTATGCAATGCCAATATTAGTGACAGGCTCGGCCCAGCAATATTTTAAAAGTTAATGATTCCTGCAGAGTTAAGTTCTCTATTTACATACAAACAGGATCAGTATAAGCAGTAACAAGGCAACCTTTTGTAAACTCTGCTACCGTGTCAATGTACTTCAACAGTGACTTGGAAGAACTATTTCTACAGCTGAGGACAATTCAGTTTTCAGAGTCCATTCAAATCCGTTGCCTCTCTGCGGAGGCAGCCAATTGTTCTGGTGACTGACTGTGTGATGTGGACACTTATCCACTAGGTCAGGGGTAGGCAACCTATGGCATGGGTGCCAAAAGGCAGCACGCGAGCTGATTTTCAGTGGCACTCATACTGCCTGGGTCCTGGCCAGCGGTCCGGGGGGCTCTGCATTTTAATTGAATTTTAAATGAAGCTTCTTAAACATTTTAAAAACCTTATTTACTTTACATACAATAGTTTAGTTATATACACTATAGACTTATAGAAAGAGA